CTGAAAACCCGGTAAGAGACGGCAGTCGATTGCTGGCAGTCCTGAAGAGTGAGGACGTAGAAAACTGAGTAGGAGAGTGAGTAGGGGAGCTCGGAAACGAAGAACAGCGGACCACTAGGCACCAGGGGCGCCACAGCGAAAGTAGTTCCGACCGGTGGTCCGGTAAAGTACAATCTTACCTTTTGTTGTTTTTATCTGCTAATATTTGTAAAAGATGTTATAATATAATACAGATATACGAGGCTGAGGCTTGTTGTTTATTGTTTGTAAGTGAATAAATATGACCACCACGACCACCAGACCACCACGTCCACTGACAACAGTCAACAACAAGCCTTACATTACAAGCAGCTGACTCACCAGTCAGTCAGTCACAGTTCAGTAGAGTAGTTGGCTACAAATAACAACAGTACAGAAAACAAGTCCACAGCTGTGATAGGGCAAAACTGAGATCCATACCACACTTTGCACCATGCCACAGTTACATCTTAATTTTCTTGTCCTGCTTCTGTGCTGAGATTCGAATCTTATCAACAACCGATTACATCGGGGGTTCCGGGCAGGCCGCCGGGGTCACTCAGTGTGTACTGTTAGTGTACAGCGAGCGTGCCTGGAAACGTGTATTTTCGCAATGAATACCGTGGGGGGGGTGTTAATCAATGATGAAAATAACGCTCTATCTTTATTCTTTTAGGCCTAGATCTAGCTTTCGGTTTATAAAGTGTTACGAACACATATATAATAACCCCATCTGGTAAGCTGATAAGACATTACGAGTAGTTACACCCATTCGAATTTATTATAATCTTTTTAGACGCTCTTGTTGTTTTACTTTTGAATGAGAAAGTGGCTATTCTCACCCGCCAGGAAGTTCTCGCAAGGTCAACCCCTCCCCTCTTCTCTCTCTCTCTGTCTCTTTCTGAATACTGTCTATCGGTGTGGATGATCAAATTGACCAAAACAAAGTTAAAAAATGATGTTAAAACACAAAAGTAAATTAATTTGGTTGTCTACAAAGATGCTACGGCTATTTAACTTTTCGAATCGAGCCGAACTACGCGGGTCGCCATTTTGTTTTGCCCGGAAATTCTCGCGCTACTCCTCTTTCTCTTTCTCTCTCTCTCTCCACTGCCCACAAACAAAATTATACGCTTTTAGTAGGGTACAGTTGTAATGGAACGTTTGTTCACGGCACAGAATTCTACAATTTTTCTGTTATCACAGTGTAGAATTCTGTGGTTTACGGTGAACGCAAAATTTGGTGAACGCGCACCGGGTGAGAATAGCCACAAGACTCGCCTGCACTATTCTCACTCCGGGTGAGAATAGAGGTGGCCTTTGAATGACCTGGGGTTCGAAAGGGGTATGAGCCATTGCCAAAACGTGGGGAAAAACACACACATCTCACATTAGTGTGCATAAAATGTGATGCATTAGTATTTATTCCTCCAAAACGTATACACACGTCAAATATAGGATGTAGAACCTGCATTAGCAGTTTCAGACCCCATGTCAGCTTTATAATCTTGAGTTTGTAAATTTTGTGCCAAAAATGTTCGTTTTTTAGTGATTCCTGGAGTGTCATTTTGAGCACACCAATGCAAACTTCCAAGAATGTCCAAAATTTAGTATTTTTGGGTGGGTTTTTTTTTACGTGTGCTTTGATCCTATGCTATTTGTCATTGAGAAAGGTTAACTTGCTCAAGAAATCGGTTTATTTGTTTGCAAATAGACGAACAATTCCGATTACTTGTGCGTCTGTCGTGTCGTCACGGACTAGGTGTTTCAGAAAACACCATTATTTTTCAGTAGAATCACCGTAGCTGGTTAGATCTTTTTGCCTATCGTCGTTTATTCAATACTTCAAAAGCCGCGATGCGCGAAAGGAACATCGGGTTCCTAGATCTACTTCGCCGTTATTGTCGTCAATTTGCGACGTGCCGGAAGTCCGAATTTCGCCCACTTTTGTTTTGAACGGGTCATCAACAGTGCCCGGATATAATTGTTTTCTTGAGTGACTTCCCCTTACCCGCTTCCCCAGAACAACGGAAGCAACGGGGGAAACAGAAAAACGAAAGTAGTCATTGCCTTCAGCGTCCGGTGACGCACAAGAATTTTGCGTTGAATGTG